CAAGTGCATTAATTAATGGAAAGTGTCCACATTCAGCAGCAAAGTAAGTCTTTTGGCTGGTCCCTTAGGAGGTATTGATTGCTAGATGACTTGAAAATGTGGAAAAGGATTTTTTTCCAGCTAAGAATATTTCAGTTTTCATCTGCTTTCTTAAGTTTTTGAACTGGTCTCCTGGTGCTTCGGTGCCAGCAAGGTGGGATCCCTGCAAGGGTAATTCCCATCCAGCATACTTGCTACTGCCCAGGGAACAAATGTTTGATGTGATGGCCGAGTTCAACTCCTCTCACTCTCCTGGCTGTTTTTTGGGGGACAGAACAGGCTTGAGATCCTTCCCAGCAGGCAGGAAAGGTTGAGGCCACCCTCCTGGAGGAGAAGCTCGGTGCTGCAGGCTCCAGCAGTGCTGTGACACCAAGTCTCTGGGCCAGGGAATGGGCCCCTGTTCCTTTTAGCTGCTGGAATAGATGTAGCCCTGGAAGATGTGCAAGGTGGCAGAAAGCAAGTTTCATCTTACTTCAAGATGCTTTCCCCATCTAACCAACGAGCAGTACAGAGCAAGGGCAAGGGCATTGCAAGGGAAATCCAGAAGAACAGGCAGAGTGAGGAGAGGATGTGGGGACACCAGCATAGGGGAGGAGATGCAGGAGGGATGCACCAGCCCCCAAAACAGTCCTCTCCTGTGAGGAGGCAGGTGCAAACGAAAGTTTTAAAAGATCATGTGAGAAGCCATTGCATACCTCAGAAGGAAGAAAAATCAACGAAATACTGCCTAAGCGTAGATGATAGCATTATTTAAGCTTAAATGCCAGAAGAACTGTTGCAGGCCAAGTGATCCTTTCTGCAAAATGCATCAGAAAAAGGCAGTTCATGGTACAAGAGCTCTCCACCACCCCTCAGCAGCACCCATCAGAGGTCTTTGCTCAGCAACGGGTCCTTGCTGCTGATGCTCATGCCCTCCCAGTGCTCCAGTCTAGTTGCTCTTCTCACTGCTAGGAAGGGTGCTGGGGAAAACCCCAAAGCCACTGGTGCTGTACAGGAACCCAAAATTATTGTGTCTGAAAGGAGAATCATTCGCCCTTCCTGGGAGCAGGAATTAGTGGCTCTAAAGAGCCATGGCAGGTATATGGAGAGCGTAGGATTTTCTTACAGTGCTGCATTCCTGGGAAACTGTCTTCCACCTGATTTGACTCAAACAATAATTCTTTCACTGGGCCACTGTCTTTGAAGGGTGTGGGCTGAATCACTTTCCCTTCTTGTTTTTTATTTCAAACCCCCTGTGCTGGTAGTGCCGTGTCAGCTGTATCAAAACTAAAATGTCTTTTCCTGTGTTTTTTTTTCCACCCTGTTTTTCTGCAAGAGCAAAAGTCAACATGACAACATTTTGCTGAGCCTTGTTTGTGTCTCATTTTTATCTATATGTAACTGATGCCAGTGGAAACATTAGCCACTCTTTCAAACAGCAAGCTGCAGAGACCAGCAAAACATGTGGTTTGTTGTGTGTGTATATATATATATAAAATACTAAAATCATGCCTACTTGCTTTTTTTTCTTCCTTTTATTTTCAAAAACAGTAAAAATTCATGGATGTTTGTGGGAAGATTTCGAGATGAAGCACTTCTTTAAGTGTTGTTTTGGTAAGAGGAAAGCCAGGAGTAGATTTTCAGCTGCTTACATGGATGTGGCTCATTTCTGAGAGCGTGGATTGACACCAGGGAAGATCTAGTCTCTTGTGAGTTTGAAGATCGACCCATATAAAGTTTCTCCTCCCTGCATGTCTTCCATTTCATGGGCAAACAAATGTTATCTATTGTTAGCTCTGGAGAGCTAAAAGAAGTACAGGAGGAAAAGCTGGATTGTGTCCCACCTTGTAGCTCTGTATCTGTGCACAAGTTATTATGTAGGTCCCAGTACACGTGTATTATGGGCAAGTTTAGGTATTAGAGATATCTATGTGTATATTATGGTATACGTAGCACACATTACTGCAGCCAGTGAAGCTCTGGCAGACTGTCCGTCATGCTACAGGCGAGGGAGCCAAGTCCTGTCCCCTGGTAGTGCCCGTCATGAGCAGATGTGGAGGGCTGGGAGGGAGGGAGGGAGGGAGGGAGGGAGAAGGTCCCGAATGCAGGATAGACACCTTACCCTGCGAGGCATCGTGTCCCTGTAGTGGTAGGAGGAGTGTGAGTCTTTGTACTGTGGTCCCAGGTGGATGAAACACATTTGTTTCTCAGCAGGCTTCAGCCTTTAAATATCTTTTATGTATTTTTCCAGTCAATGCCCGTGTCTCATTGCTTTGCACTCGCTTGGTTGATTGACACTACAAAAGAGACTGGTTTGATGTTGGGGGTTTTATTGTGGAAAAGTTAAGCCAATTCAGGGAATATAGGCTTTTCTGCCACTTTTAGCAGGATTCTTTGTCTCTTCGCGGGATGGATGTTACTGCTTTCACTTCTGTGACAATCTGCATGGTGTAAGGTCTCCCTTGCCCCTAGTCCTGGAAAGCTTTGTGGGTTACAGCAAGTTCTCATAAGTAAGGATTTCACTCAGAAATTCAGAAAATCTTCCCATGGACACCATCAGTGGGGAGGCGCAGCAGGACCTCTGCCGAGCCCTGGAAATCTGGAACAGCACAATTTACGCTGTTATTATCATACGTTTTTCAGAGCATCAGTCATTTTTTACTTTCACTTAGTGTCTTTCAACTGGCTGAAAATTATAACCTTCACAAGATAGCATTAGTACGTCCTTATAAACACTGTGCATGGTTTAAAATTTCTCTGGGCTCTTGCCCTGCAGCAGAAATACCCTATAAAGGAGAGTGAAAGGGTTATTTTTATGTCAGAGGACAGAGGTGCTCTGCACACCCATGTGTCTGTAGGTGTAGAGGACCAGACTTACTGGTCTGCTGCAGGGAGCTCTGGGGGATCCTGCCCAGCCACTTCCACCAGCCCTTTAGGGCATCAGCAAAACAGCTATTGAAATGTTTTGTGACTATTAAAATGCATGTGTTTCATTGTCTGCTTTTGTAAAAGGGTTTTAAAAGAATCAGAAACATCAAAATCTCTCCCAGGTGCATGTATTTTTGACAGATTAGTAGAAAGTTATGCACCAGAACAGCAGTGTTGAGGGATATCTTTTTAAACTGCAATCCCAAACTTTCTGTTGTATTGTACAAAGATTGCCATTAAGTGAAAAAATACATCTGTATGTTATGGTACAACTTTATTGGTAGGTGTTGACATGAAGTTTCAGCCTTCTGTATTGGATTAATATGTGTGATTGTATGTAACACATGTAGTAATCAGTGGGGTTTTTAAAATTCATCACATTATTCTTGTTCTGTCACAGGTTTCCCAGCTAATTGTGAATCTTTTCTTTTTAAGGCATGAATTTTAGACAGTGGGGGCTACATTATTCTATTGTAATAACTCTTTGAGCCCTCTTCACTCGTTTGCACTGAGGCCCGGGGGGGTCAGCTTACGATCCCAGAGGGCTTTGCCCCCTAATACGGACTATCCTGGGAAGCCTCAGCACAGCGGTGGTGCTGGAAAGGTGGCTTATAAATTGTGCTGGAGACGTGCATCTCTCTAATTGCTAAATGAACCAGCATTGGCTGTTGCTGATGTTGAGGTAAATATCCCAAGCACCTGCTGCTCTTGCACTCAGGAGAAGGACGCAGAGAAGGGCGATGGGGCTCAGTGGTCCCCCCACTGCCCGCCGGTCCCATGTCTTCACCATCCTTCCTCTGCCTTGGATGGGGGGAAGCCCTTTGCTCCATCCCAAGTTGTCTTTTCATTTTTAATATTTTGTCTTGCGCCTGTTGCAAAGGGGCCAAAGCCAACTTCAGCTGAGGATGCCCCAGTGTTTGTATTTGCAGATCCCATGCGGCTTTACATCTGCTTCCACTTTCACCAGAGCCATCTGCTGTTTTTCGTTCCTGGTATTTCATATCCCAGGCACTGGTCAGTAACCATCACTGACTCAGATGAGCACAGGAGTATTTTCTTGTTGCTGACACTTTGTCTTTCCCCCATGCTTCTTGCATGTGAAAGTTTCTCCCTCCCTCCAGCCTCTTCTGCATCCTGCCCCTGGCATGTGCATATGCTGTGGGGCTCTGGTAAGGTGATGTGCAGAGAGAAAAAAAGGAAAATGGGGGGAAGGAGTGGATTTCAACTAGAGTTACAAGGAAATCTGAGACACTGGTGTCATGTCTCTGCCTGCAGAATGAGGCTGAAGAGGTGAGTCAGAGCCAGGTGGAGGCAGACACTGCTTTGTCCCATTCCAGGGACATTTTGCCAATGCAGCAGGAGAAGCATCGTGGGCAGGCGAGCAGGAGGGGCCAGTGGCCGAGGCTCAGAGATCCGAGGCCGAGCTCGCCAGGCACCTCTGGGACCCAGCCCCCAGCCCCACATGGCTGATGTCCCACATCACTTCAGCAAGGACCGCTGCTGCCTCGCCCCAAATCTGGGCAGAGATGCTGGCGACTAAACATGCATCTCTGTGGCTATGAATAAAACCTCAGCTGTGTGTCATTTTGAAAGACCCTAATTTTAGCTAGCTGGTGCAGCGCCTGGCTGCGCATCGTTGAGGTGCCCCACTACACACAGAGGGCAGCGATTTTGCCCCTTTGCTTGGGCAAACCAGGCGTAAAAGGGTTTTTTTCCTGCCGAAGGCTGTTGATGCAGGAGGAAGAGGGAGGCACGTTTTCTTTCAGGGACAGGGTTAAGAAAGAGTCACCGATGGGACCAATCCCCCGACGTGGCCAGCTCCAGTGAGCCCTTGGTGTTTGGGTTGTCCGGGCGCCCGTGATGGTTCCAATGTGCGCGCAGTATGACAGATGACCTATTGAAATAATTTCGGAGCAGTGCTGGGGTTGCCAGGACAACCAGTGCTCCCTGGGCTTGCGCCTGGCCATGTGACAGCCGCCTTGACGTCAGCTGGAGGCAGAGCCTGCGGTTTGGGCCGCGCAGCCAAAGCCTTGTGAGAACCTAGTGGATGCTGGATTTATCCCCGCCACCGCCGCCGCCGCCGCTGCTGTTTCTCAGGGGCTGCCAGAGCATGGACTATTAAAAACTTGCATTTCTGCAGTGTGAGGTAACCATTTGCTTTATGTTCTCGTCAGGTATTTTTTTTTCCTTTTAAAAAAAATAGGATAGAAAGCAGCTTATCGTGACTGATATTTTTTTCACTTGTTTGTTTTGGCTGGAAGTTTGCCTTGATGAACAAGCCCGGCACTATCAGATAAATGCAAAGCAGCTTCCAGTTACTAATTCTGTGTGCAGACTGCGAAGCGGAGTTACATTTAGATTAATGATCCATGAAAGGAGAATAAAATGATATTGTTCTCCTTTGACACATTAGGAATATAAATGAACATGGGTAATCTTAGGCTAATGCATTCGGGAGCTAAAAGACATTATGTTCAGGTATTGTGTTGATGTGGGCATCTCTACAGCTTTATACCTCTGTTGGAACTTGTGGTTTTTTAATGCTGCCCAATTCAAGCGGGTTTGTCCCCAGCGTGTTCAGTGAGGGGGAAGCCAGCAGCCGATGCAGCTAGGAACAGCTTGAAATCCAACTCCCAAAGTTCGAGTCTTTAAATCATCTTTGTTCACATGGAGTCCCTGCACCCCACAC